TTGGCGCCTATTCTGAGTATGTGATTGAACTAGCCGAGCATAGTTTAATCACCGAGAAATATGATGTTACAAATTTCTCCGTTTTTTCACTACCTCAAATTTTTTTTTAATTGTTATCAACATGTCATTTTGACCTATTGTTTCATTGTCAACATTTGATAATTTTCTTTTCTCCATTATAAAACATTTTCGTCTCCATAATTTCAAATAATTAACTGATGATGAAACTATATAGGTTCGAAACATGTACTGATTGATGGTTTTACCGGTCTAACATCTGATGGTGATTTTGATTTGTGGAGACGACTCCGAGTTTTATTCTTCGCAATGACACCTTTGCTTTGAAAGTCAATATTTGAAATATATTCTGAGTCCATTGATTCGTATTCATTACATTAATATTTCTGTTTCAAAAGTTTCTCAGTAATGTGAATTTCAACGATTTTAACAAAAAAAAAATGAATATTCATCATCGACAAAAATCATCCTCAATCATTTCATAATTTCACTGACATTCGTAGTTTGTGGAACATGAAACTTTCATATCTCTGTTTACATTTTATGGTTATATTCGAGACGATTATAATTTATCTTTATTGCATTGAATTTGATGTACCGACTTTCGCAATGAAACTGATCTTATAGGTGACAGAAAAATAAAGTTTCGACAGATCAGGAGTTGTACTGAAAATGATAAAATTTCATGAGAAATATTATTTTCACTACTGATGATGTATGTCGCAGTAGCAGACGAAACGTTTGGTACTTCAGGTTCCATTCGACCAAGGCCTAGCATCCAGGGTTTTGTTTTCTTCAATTGTGATTCCGGCCGTGAATGTTTATATTCTCTGATAGTTCAATAGTTTTCGAACATTGGAAGTTCGAATATCAATTCATTTTGATTTCACATCAACTAAGATGAAATATGCTACCCTCCGTATAAACCTGCATACTCGTAGTTCATGTGAACACCATCCCAGTTCTCCTCAGGTTTTTCCAAGGGAAGAATTTTACAAGACTGCAGACTTCAAGCTAACGTTTTCATCTTGGTACTTTCTATATGTATAATATGAAGTTTTGTCAAAATATTATTCTGAAACGAGAAGGGAATTGCGACTCGTTGCCCCTTGAAATGAATACCGCCAACGAGAGTATAATCTTGATTTGCTCATTCAGTACTGAGAAGATTCTTTCTTGATTTTGTTAGTAGAGGATCTATCTATATCATTTCTTTGAAGAATGATTCCAGCATCAAAGCTTTCTGAAGAAAAAGTGAATGGGTGCAATTTCAAACTTCTTGGTTCATAACCACATCTATTATATGATTTCAATTTGGCTGATGTATTTAAAGAAAGCTTGTTTATTTGGTGAAAAATTCGTATAAGTGGTTGATTGTCAGTAATATATTGGAAATGAAAATGGCTGAAAATATAATAGCAAGGATGGGGTAACACTGGAACAACTTCTCTCGATAATTGATACTATCATCAGCAAATTAGCACCTAAGTTGATTGAGAAACTTTGCGAGAAAATTGATGAAAAACTGAGCAACATGGAGATTACACTGAATGATGTCATTCAAACGGTATCTTCAATGGAGGTAATGATGCAGGCCGGTCATAAAGGTGTTGATTTAGTGAACGAAAGGCAGAATATTATGGAGCAGAGCTTGAAATTGAATACTCTGAGACTAACGGGAATAAAAGAAGAGCAAAATGAAAATCTTACACCTGAGGTACTAACTAACTCTAATTAATGACTCACTGCATGTAAGATGTGCCTTATGGAAACTGAACAATCTATTTAGGATTGGGAAAGTAGTTGGTGAGAATAATCAGTCTAAACATAGAACAGTCATCGTACAGTCCATTTTCTTTCTGAAAAGAGGTGAAGTGTACCGGACCAGGTTCGCTTTGAAAGGAACAGGCATATACATCAATGAAGATTTGTCTAAACATAATTATAAACCGCAAATGGACACCAAAAAGAAATTTGGAGGAATGGGAGAGTATCCGTTAGGCACATTGTTAAACAAATTGAAAATAGGATACAGTTACTTGAGCTGAACATTTATAAAAAAGATAAACTTCGTACTGATAAAGACAGGATTTTTTTTCTTTTCTTCTTTTGGTTAACGTAGATTTACACTGTTCAATTTGAAACTTTGTTACAATTGAGAATAAATCTAATTCTACAATGATGGTTGATGATGATGTTGAATATTCAGTTTAAAATTATATGTAGCTGTTATTTTACACTCATATGTGTCATTTGTAATTGAAATTTATTTCAGTTTCATTTTAAGTAGTTAGTAATTCATCGCTACTCTTATTTCATAAAACATTATGTTAACAGTATCACTTAGATATCAGATTATTATATTTTTATTGAGTGTGAGCCCTGGAAGTTCCACATGAATATGGCTTGTAATTTCAGGGTATACTACCAAGACTGCAGAGGTTTGAATAGTAAATATACGAGTTTTTCAGAAATTCCTTAGTTTGTGCTTAAGAAGTTATAGCTACATATATCTGAAACATGGTTACGAGAGGGAGTTGATGACGGTGAAATCGTAGATACAGATATTTTTTATCTGTTACGAGCTGACAGAGATTTCGAATATACAAACAAGTCTACGGGAGGAGGTGTTTTACTGGCTATCAGAAAGAAGTACAAAATTTTACAAGTAGTTAGGAAAGCGACACTTTTTGAGGCACTGGTTGTGAAGGTGGAAGTTAATGGTTGTAAGTACACACACTTTGTGTGTTATATATTCCTTGAAATAGTTACATTATTATTTATGAATCGGCCATGGACTTTCTGCCAGGTAATATAAATGTTGTTGTAAAAAGATATGATTTTGGAGATTTCAATATACTAGAAATAACTGGTAGAATCTTGAACTATCCAATTGCAAGTGAAAAACTTGCAATTTTAACTGATTTCATGAATTTTAATACTTTTCAGTTATATAATGACATTCCCAATTTGCAGGGAAAAACACTGGACTTGGTAATCGCTTCTGAAGGCAATATAAATAATTGTGCTAAGGGATTCTTTATCATTTGTCAAGGAAGATATTTATCATCCTGCCTCAGAAATCACTATGAAAATTCAACGTGAAAAAGAACGTGTGAACGAATTATAAGAACCAAGATTTATATGCAAAAAGCTAATTTTCTTATGCTAAGTGAACAACTTAGAGATACTGATTGGGATAGTGTGTTATATGAAAATACTGTGGATGAGGTTGTAGATGAATTTTCTATTATATGGAACACAATTATTGATGAATGCGTGCCCAAATGTAACAATATTCGAAATGGAAAAAATTCCTATTTGGTTTGATGAAGAGGTCAAAGACTAGTATCGGACTATTACGGAGAAAGGTATAAAGAATTGAGAAAAAAACGTGAAAACTTGATTAGATCGAAATCTAAAGAATACGTATCAAAGGTAGAAGATGAGTTAAAAACCGATGTGAACCAATTTTGGAATAATTTTAATGATAGTAAAAAATTGTCGACTTTAGAATTCTTTTCTTACAAAAATAATCAAATAGATGACAATGATACAGCTGAGATATTTGCAAGTATAATCTCAATTTCATAAATGATGGTGATGTAGTTAACAATTTTTGCCACATTAGGGAAATAGAAGGATCAGATTTTGAAAATGCAATAAAGGAATTGAAACCAAAGAAAGCGGCTGGTGTTGATGGAATTTCCCCATACATTCTGAAAGCTTGTGGCGATTGAGTAAAAATATCACTTCTGCACATATTGAACCTTATCATCAAGTCAAATGTTTTTCCAGATATGTGGAAAACTGCTATAACAACACCTATTTATAAGAGTGGAAAACAATGTGTCATTGAAAATTATCGGCCAATCTCCATAATGTGTGCTCCAGCCAAGTTATTTGAGCAAATTACCCATACACGAATATTTCACTACACAAAAATATATATCACGAAAGAACAGCTCTGAGGATTTGTTAAAATCATTGAAAAGTTATTTACAAAATAGATACTTCTGTGTTGAACACAACGGTAACAAGCCAGGTGAATTTCATGCTAGCTCTAGTGTTCCTCAAGGATCTAACCTTGGACCACTATTATTTGTTCTATTCATAAATGATCCCCCTCCCATTTTGAAATTTTCTGAATATTTGCTTTTTGCGGATGATCTGAAAATATATAAACAGATACAAACAGATAGGGATTGTGTTAATTTGCAAAGGTACATCGACAGTATTTATGAGTGGAGCATCACAAATAAATTCAAATTCAATATTAACAAATGTAGCATCATCACAATAACCCGTTTGAAGGATTCTGGTAATTTTGATTATATGATGGATAGGGAAGTCCTCCACAGATGTTCTGAGGTTAGAGATCTTGGGGTAACTTACAACAGTACTTTATCGTTGGCCAAACATATTCAAAATGTTGCTAAATTGTCAAATCGAATGTTGGGATTCATTATTAGACAAACTCGGGACTTTACGAATAACAATACTATAAAATTATTATACTACTCACTTGTGATACCCAAATTGGAATTTGCAAGTATAATATGGTCAGGTGAATATCGGTCCACAATCAATGCAGTCGAGAAAATACAAAATAAATTGCCTAGGTATTTATATTATAAACAGTGCTATATTGGGGTTGACTATAAAGTTATCAGATCCAATCAACTTAGACATGACTTCACAGTACTCTCTTCAGAAACCAGGAGATCCGTCACCATGGAATCCTATCATTACTGAGATTCAATGCCCCTTCCCGTAGAACTCTGAGAACTTATCCATTCAATATTCCGTTGGTGGCCAATACATGTAGTGTGCTTGTAGTTATAGATTTGACTCCATCTCAGGGTGTATTTTGTAGAGCAATATTAGATTATTTTGTGAATGCATCTGTGTAATACTGTATACATACGTGTAAGGAATCAAACGTTAAAAGGTAAGATCTCGTTAGTTCTTACCTCTCACAAGTTTCTCAACTTCTGAGAGTTGTTGTTCGTATAGGGGCGACAGCTGATTAACAGAAAAACAGATTTCAAACAGACAGATTATATTCAGTATTTTCATCTGTGCATGAATATGATTTTCTATCGATAAGATAATTTACATATATTATTATTATCGATTTTATTGCACAACTTTATTCAATAACAGAGTACATATAGTTCATTGCTATTCAACTTCAAAGTTTTTGAGTAGGTACACAACGAGGAAACAATGAAAGTTTTGTTGAATCGAAACAAACCTATTTAAAATCTGTTTTTTCGTTAATCAGCTGTCGCCCCCATACGAACGACAACTCTCAGAAGTTGAGTAACTTGTGCGAGCTAAGAACTAACGAGGTCTTACCTTTTAACGTGTGATTCCTAACACGTATATATACCGTATCAAACAGATGTATTCAAGAAATAATCTAATATTGCTTTACAAAATACTCCCTGAGGTAGAGTCCAATCCGAATCTACAAGCACACTACATGTATTGGCCAATCGTAGCATGGTCACTGACTCTCATGATTTATAATTATTGAAATGAGAAGATTATTTTATAATCATTATCCATGTAATTAGATCTTTGGTCTGTTTGGATAAAAATAAATAGATAAATAATAACAAATTGCTGAGCATCCATACTGAAATATTCATTGAAACCACGTTTTAGTCCTCGTCGCCAATTTTGTTTTGAATTATTTGACAACTCTGACAACTATTTCTAACTTAGAAGGAGTGCTGCTTCTAAATCACTTCACTATGAATTATGATGTGTGCCGGTTCTATCAAAAAATGTAAATAATCTGCACACTATTTCACAGCGACCATAAACTGCAAATAAACCCATAGTCATTGAAAATATAATATTATATGGCAAACAATCTGATAAAAGCCGAGCTTATATCTTGAACAGAATCTGAGCATAGTAACAGTTGCAAAATCTATTCAAACGCATTAATTACATGGAATAAATGTGAAGTGATATTTCAATGGAAAATCAGGCGTAAAAATGTCCGAGTGAAAATTTCGTTCTAATGTTGGATAAAATTTTCATATGTTATATCTGACAAATATTGAAGAAGAACGTTTCCAGAATCAGTGCTCACGTCATGAATAAAGAACAAATGAACGGAAACATTGAAGGAAATACAAAAAATGAAGTTGAAGAGGTGACAAATGAAATTTCTTAAAAATTATATCAAGTTTGAAATTCAATATTTCTTCAGATTACCGTTCATGATAACCCGTCTTACATGAGAGATACGAACGAAGTGGAAATTCAGCAAAAGGCAGAAAAAGAAATTGAGAATGTGAGTAAATAAATATTTATTTTAACTTCTTCGGTGGTTATCGGTTCGTGAAATCCATTCTGTTCAGTCTGCCGTAGCAAAAAGCTTCCAACTGCTCTAAGGTTAGAATTTCTGGGTTGAGTGGGTCATGAAAAAACCAGGATTTCACCCGATCAGAGGTTAAATAACTGTTTTTATTTTCAGTACTCAGTAGTGGTAAAAGTTGGGTTGTGGTAAAACTTGGGATTTAGGTTCTAAACAAATCTATTGGATTTATGTGATGATTGTCAGACAAATGATTACTCATGGTGCAATTGCCTGGTGGCTGAAGGCTTCACAGAAAACGGCACAGGCGAAGCTCTCTGGCTTACAGAGACATGCTTGTCTGGCCATCAGTGGTGCCATCAGTACCACACCGTCAGCGGCCATGGAGATCCTTCTCTAGATCTACCTCCTTTCCACATTTTTCTGGGGAGAGAGGCTAGATGGGCTGCATATACACTTGTACAAATTGCCAATTGCACAAATCAATTTAATACAGAGTGCAACAGACTGTTGGTTGACACTGGAAGTCACAGCATTCTGGAAGTGACCGACTTCATGTCTCCAATTGTCAACTACGAACTGCTTTATGAAGTAATGTTCCCGAGTAGAGAGGACTAAATCCTCCGGGAAAAGAAAGTATTAAGAACAGAGAGTTGTTGGTTCAGTGATGGATCAAAAACATCTTCCTCAACCTGCCTAGGAACCTATGCGACTGTATTTCAAGCGGAAATTCACGTTATCGAATTGTGTGCTGAGAGATTGAAAGAATCCAACCTCATACACAAGTCAATAAAAATATTCTGTGACAGTCAACCGGCGTTTAAAGCTATTGGCTCCTACCGAACAACGTCGAAATTGGTAGCAAATTGCCAAAAACGACTCTCCTCGATAGAAAGACTCAAGAGATTGTCTCTGGTCTGGATTCCCGGCCATACTGACCTAGAAAACAATGAGGCTGCTGACTTCCTAACAAAGGAGGGTGCTGCAAGCAACTTCATCGGACCAGAACCTGTCATTGGCATAGCTTTAGGCTTTGCCAAACAAAAATTGAATACCTAGATGGCAAAAAGATTTAAGGACTTCTGGCAGAATCTTCCAGGATTGGCACACTCCAAGGCGTTTATTCACCCTTCGAAGCTTGATACCAAACAGTTGTTAGACCACAATAGGGATGAATTACGCGGTTTAACAGGCCTTCTTATAGGTCACTATCATTTGAAACATCATATGCAGAGACTCGGACTGTAGAAAGACAGTGTGTGTCACCTCTGGAAAATGATGAAACAGCGGGGCACATACTTTTTGCCTGCCACGCTAAGGATCGAATCAGGTTTTTAGAGTTCGGCAGAGCCATACTCTCACCATCTGACCTGAAAGACCACTCATCATACAAACTAATCGGCTTCGTTAAGAAGCTGGGGTTATTTGGTCGAGTGTGAATATGTGAAAATAAACAATAAACCCTTGTGGATTGCGGTGGAGGGTCGAATAGACCCACCCACTTCAGACCTAACATAACCTAACCTAACTCAGTAGTATCAGTAAGCTGTCACGGTTTGGTACGAGGTGGATAACTATCTGAAGTGTGGATTTCATTAGTTCAGACTTCCGTTGTCTAATATGATATGATTTGAAAACAACTGAAAGCAAAAAACTTTGAAATGAAATAAAAATAAGCAAAAAATTCAAAATTGAACAAATGAATTGATATAAAAATTATAATATTTCAAAACCAAATTGTTTCGCGACTTTTCGATTGTTAGTATCCACAAGCATCATCACTCGAAAACGAATATTTTCTATACTGATTATAAAAATTTTCAGGACAATGCCGTGAAAGGTGTCCCACAGGATAGGCCACAATGGGGACGTAGTATAGAATTCTTGATGTCCTGCATTGCCATGAACGTTGGTTTGGGAAATATTTGGAGATTTCCATTCGTAGCATATGAAAATGGAGGGGGAGCCTTCGTGATTCCTTACCTTTTAGTTTTGACTTTTTTTGGAAGGCCAATGTATTATTTGGAAATGTGTCTTGGTCAATTCACGAGTAGAGGAAATGTCAAAATGTTTGAGAGTTTGGCGCCTATTCTGAAAGGTAATTCATTGAGAAACGAAAGATATGGTAACACTGTGCAAATGAGTTCACTTTCTTCTTTTATCCATCCAATCAAACTCAATTCATTTGTGTTTTCAAATGTATTTTGTTTCACTGATGCTAACTGATTTGAAATCATCTAAAAGAACAATTCGTTCAGGCCTGTCTCAACTCCCTACACTGTAGGTTAATGGACTGACACCTATCAGAAAACAACTACTCCCTTGGCTAATACCACGAAGGGGGTTGAATTATATCCGACAGGTGTCAGTGCACGATTCTTCACAGAAGTTATTCCTGCATATGCTGTTGGCGATACAACCGCCGCAATAGATTTTCAATTATTGGAACACACACAATGGTTTTGGGCTGTTTGGTCACTCGTCAGTGCAAGATTGTGTATATCATCAACATGAAGTTGATGATTTACGATAATTGAAAATCAAATTCCTTCAGAGTATCATTCCTCGAACAGAACTTAATGAATTATGTTGACGATATACACTACCTTGCACTGAGGAGTGGCCAAACAGCCCGAAACCGGTCTGCAAGTGTGTTCCAATAATTAAAAATCTATTGCGGCAGTTGTATCGCCAACAGCATATATGCAGATGATTTGATTTATAGCGAGTCTTCAAGTATGCCCATTGACTATATGTGAAAAGATAACTGATTTGATATATTTGTACTGGGTGACCAAAAATTTATTTTTTTTTCAGTGGAAGAATAGGTTCATATCCAATAAAATACAACGATTGGATGAGATTTATGAACTGACATTTACCAGTCTCTCGACAAGGAACAAATCTACAGAAACATTCGTCTGGCACATTGCGAATAACTCATGGGGTAATTCTGCTAATTTCGACCCTGAATCGATTTTTTGAGTACTCTACATTCTACGGTTTACATACATAGGCCTTTGATTTCAACTTACTTCATGAGAAAAAATCTAGTGGCGTGAGATCTGAGATCTTGGGGACCACTCTATCGTTTCGCATCTACTAATCTACCTCCTAGAGCAGAGGTTCCCAACAGGTGATACGCATACCACTGGTGGTACGCGGGAACGTTTTAGGTGGTACGCGTGAGGAGTGACGGCGCCGGGGGTGGGGCGCAGAAAGCTGTTTTTCCTTCTTTCTCCACACCTACATTCTTCCGCCTCACAATATTGCTAGTGATTGTGCAATGTTTATATGTTGTTGTGATGGTTCGTTGGGGGTGTTGTAATACTTAATTATGATTTCATATAAGAAAACTGAACTAAGAAATGATTTCTGACGTTCTCTTCTACTTCAAAGGATTGAGCTAAAAGATCTAAATCACCGGCCACTCATAAATACGATGAAAGCTACTTACAGTACGGTTTTATAGTGAAGCCAAGGACGAGGACGTAGTGACATTCCTATTCCTCAATGTGTTGTATTTCTTGAAAAACTGTCGAACCAAAACACGAAGCCTTCTTTACTGATGCGACATCAAAATACTAAACACCTTGATTCGATCAGTGAATCCATTGAGTTTTTTAAAGAAAATCTTTTAAGAAACTCAATGTTTGACGAAGTTTGTCAATACTGATACTAACTTGATACGTCAAACCTTGCTAGTTTAAGAATTGTAAAGGATGTAAAGCCTGCATACAGAAGTGAGGTTTTAATGTGAGGGAAACATTTTGAACTATCTCTTTGAACTTAGATCAGAAGTTTTTATGTTTGAGTGAAAAAAATCATGACGTCAAAAAATTGTTTGCTCATGAAGAATGCTTGTCAAGATTGGTTTATCTATCCGACATTCTTGATAAACTCAACACTCTGAACTTGGGACTTCAGGGACCAAACACAACAGTCTTCAGAGCCAGTGGAAAAATAAACTCATTCAAGAGAAAGTTGGTTCTGTTTTGTTTACAAATACAGGAGAAGAAACTATCTGCATTTCCTACTCTATTATTTTAAAGGGATATCTTCAATTAACTTCTGGATCGGATGTAAAACCAAGTACCCTATGATCTTCAGGCAAGCTCTGCTATTCTTGATATCATTTGTTACGAGTTACTTGTGTGAGAGTGGATCTTCTGAACTCTTGTACATTAAAAATGAACATAGAAGCAGAATAACTTTTGAAGAGGACTCAAGAGTGAAGTTAAGTTCCATCAGTCCTAATGTTGATATTTTTGGGATTATTCTCCTGTAAAATTTTTTTTCTGGTCACCTAGTACAAAGATACTAAATCAAAGATCATTACTGAATGCAATACTGAAAGACTTTTCAGATGGAGTGTCACATATTTCAATTAATAAATAAACTGATGACGTCACTACATACAAACCAGTGGCGTAGTACCTTGAGGATATATATTTGAAAATTTGCATTCAAAAATGAAAATCGACCTATGTCAAGATTTTTGTCGAGAGCACATTGCTTGTGAAATAACGAATTTGTACAGAAATTTAGTCGCTCACCGTATGTTGTATCATAGCGTATCTGAATATATAACATACAGGGTCTTTCACGACGAGCGTTCGTTAGGAATATATGGAGAACGATGCAAAATAAAAACTTGAAATTTTGTGGTAGCGGGTTTTACAAAATGACCCTCTCAACTAAAATATTTTCAACTCCCGGTCTCTACACCCCTGGCAAGATATATCCGATTTTGGGAAATATTTGAAATGTAAATCATTCGAAGCAATACCAAACCAAGAAAGCTTTGAAAACAAATGAAATTACAACAAATTTGTTAAAATTTGATGCGATATGATTGACGTGTATTTCGTAGTTTTTTATTTGTGTGAAAATGTCTCGTTTGGGGTATTCCGATAAAGATTTACTGAATTTAATAATCAATTATGGTGAATGCAATAAGATAATGGACAGAATTTGTCGTGTTTCTGCAGAAAGATTTCCAAATCTACATATACCTAATAAAAATAATCTGAGAAGACTTGTAAGAAACTGCCGTGATGTCAGAGCTTTTTCGTCTGTCATCAACAAAAAAAAAACCACTCGTAAACAATGAGGACATTGAAATTGTAGTTTTGGCCTACTTCACAGCCTATCCAGAAAATCCGTTGAAAGACGCAGAAAAATCACTTGGAATTTCATGTTCGTCAATAAACCGGATTTTAATCAAACATAAGTGGCGCCCCTTTAAATATTACCAGGTTCAAAATCTGAAACCTCACGACTTACCTGCACGAGTAAAATTCTGCGAATGGTTTCTGAGTTCATGAAGAACATGATATGGACAGATGAAGCCAAGAATGGTATGTACAACAGCCATAATAGTCATTTTTGGGCAGCAGAAAATCTAAAGCTCGTTCGCCAGCGCAACTTCCAGGATTCATGAAGTTTAAATGTTTTTTGTGCTATAAAGGAAGACAGAATTTTATGTTTATATCTTCATAAAGAGAATTGGAATAGCGATAGATATTCATATCGCATATAATTAGAAATGTGGTTGGTGAATTCAATACCGTTTCAAGTTATTGTATCAGATGTATGGAGCCCCTGCACATAGTACTGATACCGTTGCTGGATTGAATAATGGGATGTTCGAAGATCAGTGGCTTTGTTACAAAAGGCCATATAAATTTCCACCTCTCTCTCCAGACCTGACACCACTGGACTTCTTCATCTGGGGATATATCAAAAAAATGTTTATGAGGATCCCGTGAGTAATAAAGAAAACATGAAACGAAGGGTTCTGAGAGGTTTCAATAATTTGATTCTTGACTCCATACAGAAAGCTACAAATAGTGGTATGCAAAAAAGAATATATCCTTGTTTAGAACAAAACGGCAATGTCTTTGAACATCTGTTGAAATGATCCACAATATTATTTGAATTTGAAGAAATTAAGTTAAATACTAATATTAAATCCAACCTAAAAAAATATAAACAAAATAAAATTACTGTATTCGATATCAATAAACAAAGATATAATTCATCTCTCTGATAGCATTTTATTTCAATCCATCCATTTTCATGTTGAGTTACCATTTATTAACTACAGAGTTAATATTAGTTCATCTGTTTTCAAAGCTTTCTTGGGTAGGTATTACTTCTTGATTTGGTATTGCTTACTGTATATCTTGTACCTGCGAATCAGTAGCAATCAAATACCCCAATCCTACCGATAAAATCGTGACTAGTCTATGGTTCTCGACAGAGTTCGGTGTATTATCTTTGTTGACACTCGACACTGTCTTATTTTCACTGTTTTCACAAAATCGTTCATTTTTCATAAATTCACCACAATCCCTTACTAACAAATTAAGGATATTTGAAAACATACCTAGGAGAAACATGCCATAAGAGACGTGGATCTCATATTTCATTAGCGAACTTATAGATAGATAGATAGATAGTTTATTTGACTACGTATGGTCAGGTGATGAGTCAAACATTTAAAATTGAATAATACCTAAATAAAATATAAAACATTAACACTACAGTATAACGAAAACACAAGGCACCCAAAAGGAGGACCATAATTTTTTTTTTCAATACATTATTACAAGCAGCACTGCATAATAAAATACAATGAATTTTGAAAGATATTATTACACGCACTTTAGATTTAAAGATAAATCCAGGCATTACCATGCAAGCAGCCATGTATTCATTTATACTATAAATGAGAAATTTTTGACGCCCTTCTTAAAACGTGTCTGTGATAAGTTCTTGACTGTAGTTGGCAAGATATTGTATAGATTAACATCTAAGGAATTCTTGGAAGATTTCTGTATATTGAATTCAGCAGTTCGTATAAGATTAGCACCACGTGTTCCATAGTTATGAAAGTGGGACTGAGTGCCCTTAATTTTATGTATCTCCAGCAGTGACTGAAAAATGACAATCGATGAAAGAGTCATGATTCCCAATTTTTTGAACAATGGACGACAGTGTCCCGCTATTCCGCATTAGAAATTATCCTTATTG